TTTTCAATCAATAACTGAGAAATGTAGTTTTAAGGTAAATATATAATGGAAACAAAGTTTTGTTAGGCCTACTCCATTCTCATATCCATACTTATTCACACTTCATTATTTTTAAAATTTGTAAAAAACTTTAAAGTAAAAAGTCTACAGCTCTACCGCTGTCAGAGCATTACAAATCACAATTTCATTTACACACATTACACTACAATCAGACGGTCGTCTATACAATTTACAATTATAATCTAAATTATATAACATTGGTCAGCCTTTATTGTGACTTTTAAGTTTCAGTGTAACCTAAGCAAAAGTTTTCTTTCATTGTTTCCAATTTACAACTCACACTTTTGTACCTTTCTTCAAGTTTTTCTAGTTGTCTTTCTTTAACTTTCAAGGACTTTTGAGTTTCTTTCAATGTCAATTGTGTTTATTAAATTTCTTTTTCTGGGCGTAAGAACCTCTTGGGCAGCAGGATTTCCAAGAACAAATTCTTGGTCTATGTACGTGTCATACGTTTCTTTGAAATTATTTGTTTGTTTTCTTTGTTTGTAATATAATTGTTAAAACAAATTACTTGTTTGAAACAAGGCATGATGCTACAACATTGAACAAGTTTTGTACTGTTATATTCCCCATTATTCGAGAAAAATCTTAACTCGTATCTTTTTTCTTTTAACTATATATACAAGTACCATAAACTTAATATGAAAATATATAGAATGAATGGTAATTGCCTCAAATAATTTTCTCATACACTTTGAATGTATACTCTATAAATACTTCCCAGTTTCTTTATACGAGTTATACATTTCTTTAATACTTTTTATAACTAAACAGTAAGTATTCTTATTTCATTTGGATTATAAACTTTTGGTGCTTGGTATAAATAACTTTTCTAAAGATTTCTTTGTTCACTTTAACAAGCTTTAGATTCCCATGTTCTTCAGCTCTTGTTCAATATATTGCTGTACTTTTTAGTATTTGTTTTCAATTACCCATTCAGTTTAACCTAGTCTAACATTACCTCAAGACACTTAATATTTTCTTATTATTGTAGAATTGAATTAATATTTATTCTTGATATATAAATATTTATCAATAACGTTCTCATAAATTATTTGTTCATTTCGAATTATTTAAACAGCCTTCAGCTTTCAGAAGAGGTCTACAAAGTGAAGTGTAATTTTGAAACTCCTTTTTAATTATTTTAGAAAACCAAAGTAATATGAATGAAAATAAGAATATAAACATGTTGTGAAGATATCACACACACACACATATCTGTTTTCTTCTGAACAAGTAACACTAATCGCCCAGCTCTATTTATTAATACTATTAATATTTTATTGTAATAACAGCAATACCACTCGGAAGTAAACTTAAGAACATGAACGCAATTTACAAAATTATAATAAAAGGACAGCAATGAAATTATAACAGTGCCTTGCAAAAGTATTCACTCCTACTAGTAATGCCACATTTTGATGAAATACATATAGTGTAAACAATTTTTTAGTTAATTTATTTTTATCCAAAACTCTAATGATCAATTCACTATTATATGTGAAGGAAATTGATTGTCAGCAAATCCCGCAAAGAAAATAAAATTTGAAATTTGCCGATTGCATAAGTATTCAGCCCCCTTAGGGGAAGCATCAATTACTGGTGTGAGTCTTTTTGGATAGGTCTCTACCAGCTTTTCACAATGGGATGGTGTAACTTTTACCCATTTTTCCTGGCAATTTTCTTGTAACCTTCTCCTGATCTGTACGTCTCTACCACTTTATCCCTAACTTGTTTAGAAAGCTCCTTGGTCTTTATCATTATGTGTGTTGTGGCTTGAACAGATGCATTTACTCTGGATTCAAGTTAAATCATTTTGATTACACAGAGACAGATACCATTACACTCATTTTATGACCTTTCAAATTAATCTTTTGCACCTGAACTGATTCAGGGGTTGAATACTTAGGTAATTGAAAATATTCTAATTTTCTTTGAAAATCTAACTTAGTTACATAATATCAGCATTTTTTTTAGCTTTCTCAGTTTGGAGTAGATTGTGTAGATCGTACATATAAAATCCCCTTTGGAACTTTCATGGATGCAAGCTAACATGGCAACAAAATGAGGAAATTTTGCAGGGGGTAAATAGATTTGCAGGGCACTGTAACTGAAGGTGTGAAAGCGAAATAAAAAAATCATTTGAATTTACACAAACACTCTTTAGTGTCAGCTTGCACTGTTTAGTACAAGTTCAATCAAATATGTTTAAACTAAATACTATATATATATATATATATATATAT